TTTCTTTTTTGGGGTGTATATTTAAAGATGCCTTGACACAGACACATGAAGTTAATCTTTTCTCAAAATTTGGTTTAAATCATGATTTATATGTTGCTGTAGCATTCAAACTTATTTTATCTGGAAATTATTTTGGGATGTGTTTTATTAACATATCCTTCACTTTCACAAAATAATCTTACTCATGAGTAGTGTAACATAATTTTATCTCAATTTTTTATTGCGACTTTGGTATCAATATCTAAACTCAGTGGTGTCAAATTATTCTGCCTTATTTTCAGACAACGGATGTCTTCAAAATGTGAAGAAAGTAAAACGCAATCCAAGACTTCCAATAGATAGTGTTAATAAAGGTTCAACAATATCCGAAGGTAAAAAAATTATTTTTTTTCTTAAAAAAAATAATGCTTTTTTTCATTAAGAATGTCATATGAGAAAAGGATAACAATGAATAATGAAGCATTCTTTTTAATTCTCAGAAACTCACAAACTCACAGAAAGTAATTTATCACTTGTATATTGATTATAAGTAAAACTTTTTCGTATTTTATTTTGTAGGCTCAAACTTGCATGCGTTCCTCTTTGTTCTCATTAAATATGCAGAAGAATTAATGAGGAAAAAATTTAATGAGATCGTTAAACCAGAGAACTTAAAAGAGCATATAGAAAAGCATAGAAAATCTTTTAAATCTTTTAAATCTTTGGAAGAAGTACAGGGAAAACTATTGTTTCCTGGTAAGTAATGGAAATAAAGAGAAAATATAATTACGTTATTTATTATTTTGATTGCAACCTCCATATGACTAGCTTAGTGTTACAGTGTCTCATCCAAAGGTTAAACGCCTATTAGAAATTAATACTTGTCTATTTCTTGAGTGCTTATGACGAGGCCGTGTTTTATTTTGACCAAAAGTCAACATCTTACAATTAAGGATAAGGATTGATAGATAGCAAAAAGATAAGAAAATCTTCATCTTTTGAAAAAAGAGTCATTTTAAGACAAACATGACAAGCAAGGGTGGGTGTCCATCTTGGCAAAAAGGACTCATTTAGGACCCGGTTAAAGATTCAAGTTCAATATAACTACCGATAACTTAAATATTTCACTTTTTTTAGAAAATGGAGAAGTTAGTACAGATAATTTTGATGTTACCACCCTGTACACATTGTTTCGGCGAACTTTAGAAAACATAAAGCCCCAAAACGGATGGAATGTTTTTCCAGGAGACGAAAATATTACCCTTGGTGATGATATTGAGAGAATCCATATAATCAGGAACTTCGTGGTTCATCTTCCACTAAATAAAGAATTTGAAAAGATGAAAAAATACAAAGAGGTTTTGCTTCAGGTGTTGATTAATTAATATATGGCACATTTTTTTCTTGTCAGAAATTTTATATGTACAGTATTACAACTTAAAGAAGCTCTTAACACTAACAGAAACTGGTTTTTCGGACTCAGAGAAAAATATATCATATAAAGATATGCATATTGAGACGTTTTCGTTCGTTTTAGAACATAGGGTACGTGCCTTATTTGCGCATAAAAAATGTTCAAAAACATTGGACTATTTGGGAGCAGAAATCACTGTTGTTTACTTACATGCGGAAAATTAATGAAAAAGATTAATCAAATTTTTTACTCTTTCTCTAATATAATGCTAAAAATATTTTAATCTATTAAAAATTATGTAATTAACGGTAAATAACAATTTCTTTAATCTACCAAATAAATAGAGCTCTTTCGTGTGCAGTGTTTAGAGCGTCCTTAAACTTCTGAATGCACTGAAGACAAATAAATGCAATGTCTAGCTCCTATATATGCAAATAAAGACGAATTGCATAGGATTTCTTTGACATAGAACCAAAAAATTAATTTTCAAAAACACTTAAATGAGAGAGAGTGCCTTTATAATTCTTTATATAATGTTTTTATAAAACCAATTAATGTTGAATTATTTGTCAGAAATTTAACTGTTTTTCGACAAGATGTAGCTCAAGCTACCTTTTTTATCATAATTCCTTTTAACGTACTGGTAGAATAATTTGCTTATAAATTTTTGGGCATCTTCGCTAGCCAAGGGGTTCTGATACGCTACTCTCCTAATGGGGAGAGTAGCGTCCCAGATAGCATGACTATGTTGGGCTAACATTTGTTAAAGGTTGTATGGTTGGCGTTGGGGGAACAACGTTGGGCCAACGTTAGACCAATGTTACCAAGTCAACCTTCTCGTCCATGACGGAATTCCTATGCTGGCCCATTGTTGGTCCAACGTAAGCAACTTCCATTCACTTTAGTTTCCAAAGAAGGAAGGATCATGGCGTTGGCCCAACGTTGGACCAATGTTTATAATACACCCTTAAAGAAAGTTATTTACAAGTTGGTAGTAGTATGTTGGCCAACGTTGGCCCATTGTTTGTAATACACCCTTAAAGAAAGTGCCTTATCAAGTTTGTAGTAGTATGTTGGCCCAACGTTGGCACAATGTTTGTAATACATCCTTAAAGAAAGTGCCTTATCAAGTTGGTAGCATTATGTTGGCCCAACGTTGGCCCATTGTTTCTAATTCACCCTTACAGAACGAGTCCTATCAAGTTGGTAGTAGTATGTTGGCCCAACGTTGGCCCAATGTTTGTAATACACACAAGTGTTATTTTTTTTAGGACTTCAAAGATGGGATATTTATATTGGGCCAACGTTGGCCCAATTATTATACTGCCAACTAATTGATGGAGTCAGTTTTATAATTAGCTGCTGAGCTTTACGTTAGGACAACGTTGGTACATTCTGAAATAATTGAGAGGACTTTCTATGTCCATGCTTATCAGTGGATGACTGCTTTTGTTTAGATATGATATTTTCAACATTTTAACTTCAATTTAAGAGATCAAGCACCAAAGAGTGTTTTATTCTATTTTTTGAATTGTGTATATGCTTATTTATTTGTAATAACCCAGATAGCAGAACACAGTTGGCCAAATCTTACATTATGGTTCATTATCTATGTTGGGTTCCCTTTTGATTGGGCCAACAATGGCCCAACATGGAATATTGATAGCTGGTCATGTATAATAGTGCGCTAATTTTGGGCTTACTGTTGGCATTATATCATAAAACTATTATCATGAGAGAAAATATTTGTTTGGAGATTGGCATCGGCCCTACGTTGGCCCAATATACCATGAATCGGACTGAGCATCATGGGTAGACAACAACCGGGCTACTTGTAATATCCGCGCCATTTTTAATCTGACACGAGCGTAATGAGACTGATACCTTGCATATCTGCACTCACTTTGTAAGTATTATTAATATGTTTGCCTCGGCACAGCTGAATTAACGTTTAGTTTTTAAACGATATCATGTACAAATCTGTGTAAATCAGACACGGGGAATGCAGAGGCCAGGTGCTGTTGGGTCAACACTGTACAGATAGCATGCTTACATTGGGCCAACGTTGGGCCAATGTAATCGGTTACATCGGGCCAATTTTGGCAAATGGCATTGACCCAATTTAATTTTGCTCATCGACCCAATGTTGGCCCGATATTTTGGGGCCCAACGTTGGCCCAATGTAGAGTGTTATTTCTACAGATATTGGCCCAACGTCGCGCCAACATTGGCCCAATAAATGCGACATTGTTGGCGAAACGTCAACAAGAACATTGGGCCGATGTTGGCAAATGCCGTTGGCCCAGTGTCATTTTGCTCCTTGGTCCAATATTGGCCCGATACATTGGACCAACATTGGTCCAATGTGTATAAACATTTAATTGTTACAAATTTGTATATTAACAAATCTGATCGTCTCTACAATCAGAAATAAATCTACAACCAATCCTACTGGAAAAATCAAGCTAGCTAAAATAGATTTAAAATTCTCAAATTTTTTTGAAACAAAATAAATTATCAGTGATAAAATTTTTTGTTTATATAGAAGAAAAATAAATGAAAGTATAAAAATGTGTTTTGATACAGTTAAAACAATTAATAATTTGCTCCTGATTTAAATTGAAATTTGTGTCTAGTAGAATACATTTCCGAAGTCTACCACTTAATTTACTTATATATACTTAACGTCGAGAACATGATCAAACATTTTGAAAATGTTGCAAAATTTATTCAGTACTAAAAATTAATTGGGTTCTTTCATTTAAAATTTGTTCAGTGTAACGACAAATTTTCAATACATGTATTTTATATGGGGCAACATTGAATCAAAATTGTTTTGATGATGATATCAAGCGTATAAATATTATGCATAAATGCCTTCATCACGCAAGCTAATCACTTAATCACACCATGAAACAAAAAAGACGGTTATTCCTTAATTGACAGCTTAAACATATAGTGATATACTTGTAAATTTAATCGTATGTTTACTCTTTACTGAGAAAAGTAACAAATATATTAAGTACCAAATATTACAATTTTAGTGCTACTGAAGATTCTAAAAAGACATGCAGAACACAATCAAAGAATGGCTAAGGTATGCCAAGGACAGGGATAAGGGAGGAAGAAACGGACAGAGAAGAAAAGAAAGGGGAGGAGGAGACTCGGGAAGAGGAAATGGAGACTTAGGAGAGGGATCAGATGGAAAGTGGCAATGCCTAACTTTTTTCTGTGATATAGTATGACATTCCTGTAGTTCTACTTTTTTTTGTGTCTGTTTGTCGGTTATAAACTCGATGCAGATGCCAGAAAAATTTTTTCTGCAAGTAAACAAAATGACGGGATTCATTCTAGTATTATTTTAAGAACAGCTAGGAGGGCTTTGTTTATTTGTTAGACGTGCTTATTGATACCTGTAATTTACTGAACTTGTGCATAATTTACATCAGAGAGGGAGTATACAGTCATGTAACCCTACATGTATAGCTTGAAGTGAGCATCCACTTTTAATTCTTTATTAATGTTTTCTTCATGCACTGAGCAATAAAATTATAGTATGTTATAATTGAATTTTATATTTTGATTTCTTTTTTCTCATTTTTTTTAATTAATGTAGAGCTACTTACAATGCAATACTTGTTGATGGCAATTCTATGAGAATATTGAGAATATGTATTAAACTATTAATCTAGCATATATAGCATATATAGATAGTATTAAAGGCTTTTACCATTTAACTGTACTACAAAACTAGTATAACCTTATTGTATATATTTGTTTGTCAATTTTGAGGACAAATGGCCAACCAGTGAAGAGCAAATGAGTTGTCATGATGGAGAGCCAATAAGATACAAACCAATGTTGGCCAAAAAATGATGTTTTCCTGATATTGAAAGAATAAGTGGCCCAACAATGGCTCAATGATATCCGTTCGTTGGTCCAACAATAAGCCAACAAGTTGGTTTGATTAACTAAGGGCCGATGAGCAAATTACCGTTGGCCCAACATTAATTGCTTACAATGGCCCAACTGCACAAAAATGACGTTTGCCCAACATTAAAAAAATACATTGGCCCAACAGTGGCCCAATATTAACTGTTACATTGGCCCAACAATAAGCCAACAAGTTGGTTTGATTAAGGGCCGATGAGCAAATTACCGTTGGCCCAACATTAGTTCTTACAATGGCCCAATTGTTCAAAAATGACGTTTGCCCAATACTGAAATAATACAATGGCCCAACAATGGCCCAATTTTAACTGTTACATTGGCCCAACAATAAGCCAACAAGTTGGTTTGATTAAGGGCCAAAGAGCAAATTACCGATGGCCCAATGTTGAATTCAAACAGTGGCCCAACATAAGGAGCGTTGTTGGCCCAACAAAGGTCCAATAACATCCTGCTATCTGGGGGATTAGAAATCCTTGGCTAGCGAAGATGATATTTTTTATGTCCGTGTTTGATCTGTTCCTATTTTGTATTAAGAGGACTTTTGATCTTGAATACTGTTCGTTATCTCCATATTAAATAGACGTAGGTAATTTATTTAAATACGAGTAGTTTTACTTTTTTCATTCTTATGTATTATAAAAATATATAATTTAAACAATATTTTCAAGTCGGTTGTTTTTTTTTTAACATTTGCTGTTTTTTTTCTACCAAAAGAAATATGCAGGGAGAAATTTGCGCTAAAGTGACATCACAATGAGTACCAGACGTAACTACATGTAAATATGTAACGATATTGGTATGGGCAGCGGAAAGGGCAAAAATTACAATAATAAGAAAACAAACAATTATTTTATTTCAATGACCATAAAAACTTAACAAATGATATACAATGCATAATCAACAGACCTTTTCGCAGAACAAATATACATTAAAGCAAAACCAACGAACAAGTACGTAACAAACATACATAAATGCAAAACCAGCGACCATCTTTGCATACAAATGTACATAAAACACGACAAAAAAAAAACT